GGGGGTCCCGGGCCACCTCCCCCAGCACCTGCGGCGCCCCCGAACCGCCCCCCGCAGAGCACCTGAGGCCCCCCACCTGAGTGTTAGTTAGAGACATATAGTAAAAGTCATGGACAGGTCATGGACCGTGAATTTTTGTTTACTGCCCGTGACCTGTCCAAGACTTTTACTAAAAACAGCTGTGACTAAAACGTAGCCTTACTTATTAGGAACAAACTCCAGATGCAACAGCAGGGCAAGAAATGTCATCAAAATTAGGAGGTTTAGAAGTAGGAAGTTGCAAAGTCTAGATGGGATTGTTGGCTCTGTTTCTGGTTTATTTGGTTTAGTAATGTCAGTAAGCAGCAGGGCTGGGATGGAATATATAAAAAGCCATTGGGTATTTTAACCATGAACAAACAAAGAAGGTTTTACAGGTGTGAAAGGGTTCGTTCTACAAGAAAATGTACCATTTATAATTTGCACAATATTGATATATTGTTTAACTAAATACAAATAAAATCAATGTTAATTAATATAAATAAAAGGGCAAGTTAAAGAGATTATTTGTTCTGCCTATGGGAGCTACGTGTTAACGACTATTTATAGCACCCTAAGAAATGTAAAATAAGGTAAAAATTCCCCAACATTAAGGATAAACAACTACTTACCTGATATTGACCCCAGTGCATTTCTAAATTTGGTAAGGAAAGGAATCATTGTGTCAAACCCTGTAAGAAAGTCCCTTTTTGCAAACTTGGGATCAGGGACACCACGTCCAAATCAAGGCTCATGTAATTTTAAAAGGTCATGCACAGTATTGGCTTCCCTTACGTACCCTTGCAGTGCGTTTGCCCAGATGAGACCCTGACACTGCAGTATTCAATACACTGGCAGTGGTCTGTTCACTAAGTTTATTGCTAAGGGCTGGTCTACACTGGGGAGAGGGGTCGATCTAAGATATGCAACTTCAGCTACGCTATTCGCGTAGCTGAAGTCGAAGTATCTTAGTTCGACTTACCTGGCCATCCTCACGGCGGCAAGTCGACCGCTGCGGCTCCCCCGTCGACTCCGCTTACTCCTCCTGCCGAGGTGGAGTATGGGCATCGATTCGGGGATCAATTTATCGCGTCTAGATGAGACACGATAAATCAATCCCCAATAGATCGATTACTACCCGCCTATCCGGCAGGTAGTATAGATGTGGCCTAAGACACCCCCGACAGGAATGCCTGGACCTGCCACAGTTACTGGTATATCCTAACAGCACACAGTCATTAAGGACTCCGCACATGGTTCGTTCTGTGAAGGCAGTGGTTCTCAACCAGGGGTATGCAGGAGTCTTCCAGGGGGTACATCAACTCATCTAGATAGTTGCCTAGTTTTACAACAGGCTACATAAAAAGTACTAGTGAAGTCAGTACAAACTAAAATTTCATACAACGACTTGTTTATACTGCTCTATATACTAGACACTGAAATGTAAGTACAATATTTATATTCCAGTTGATTTGTTTTATAATTATATGGTAAAAATGAGAAAGTCAGCAATTGTTCAGTAACAGTGTGCTGTGACACTTTCGTATTTTGATGTCTGATTTTGAAATCAAGTACCGGTAGATTTTAAGTGAGGTTGAACTGGGGGTGCGCAAGACAAGTCAGACTCCTGAAAGGGGTACAGTAGTCTGGAAAGGTTGAGAGCCACTGTGCTAAGGGATAGCGATACAAGTGTACGTGTGATGTCTTTGACATCGTCACTCCAGTGCGTAATCATCCTGGTCTAGACCAATTGAGTGAGCCTGGGAAGCTAGTTGCTACAGTCTCAAGTTGGTGAAGTGGAGAGGATGATCTATATGCCACTATTCCAAATTCTGTTGTATCCTACAAAAACGCACTGTGATTGGACAAACTGTTATACCCCCCAGTCCAGTTTTTAATGATGTGTCTACAACCCACAGTGAGCCTGACCGTCAGGATGAAATTGAGGCGATGGTACCCATTATTGATGCATGCATTACCCCACTAACCTTGACTATGAAGATTTTGTTAAATCAGAAAGATACCCATGTTATGCAAATTAGCAACAGCCTGGGAAAAGCAAAGTGATCTCAATCAGTTCTTTCATGATGGGGATCTCAATATTCTATTGTCGCATACTTAAATAGAAGTAACCTTCAAGGGTTTGATTGTGTTACAAATAATTATCATTGTCATTATGTTAATTTTATTTTGCCACTTACGTCTGGTTAAAGAGCAAAAAATTTAAACAAATGCTTTACTTGCTAATCCTTTTGTAACTCTGAGGAAACAAGTTACTGTTACTGAATATCTTACTTACAGCTTTCTGCTTAAATAAGTGGCACCATAAATAAATTTAAAGTGACAAGGCAGGGCCTATGAACCTATGAACCAGACTTTTGTAAGACCTTTAGCTCACTCATGAACCAGACTCCCATAATCCTCTTTGGTCACGCTAAGAAAGGAAAATACAAGCTTGCTGAACTTGTTAAGAAAGAAATAGTGACCTTTTCCTGCTCTTTTGACTGTGCAAGCAATGTCTTCAACTGCAACAGACAGGAATATATATATAAATATAACGTACCAATCCTAAAATAATGAGTAAGAAGGGATAAGCAATTATCAGAACCGGGCCGGCTCTACCATTTTTACTGCCCCAAGCAAAAAAAAGTGCCGCTCAGACTGCCGCCCAAACTGCCGAAGCAAAAAAAACCAAACAAGCAAACGGCTCGGATTGTGCCGCCCCAAGAATGGACGGAATGCCGCCCCTTAGCATGTGCCGCCCCAGACATGTGCATCCTCCGCTGGTGCCTGGAGCCGGCCCTGTATCAGAACCAAGACAAGACTGGGATCCGCTTGTCATACTGCAGGGTCAGTTCTACGGATTGTGGTAACTATGATTGATACCTATTTCTGTCGGGCGCTGTTTTGATATCTAATCGTTTAATAAATTCAATCACTCTGACTTATCCAAGGTCTTTTAAAATTTCTTAATACATTCGAACTATATTAATGATAAGCTATTGATTAATTATTGACTATTGGTTATTGATTATTGGAAACCCGAAACCCGAACTTATATATATATATATATATATATCTAGTGGAGTTATTCCAGCTGCAGATCTGGAAATTCATATATATATATGACACACACATGTATATATGATACACACACATATATATATATGATACACACACACACACACACACACTATATATATACACCACATCTTCTATTTCATTCAAAACGTTGTGGGTTATGTAACTGACAAGCTGCGGAGTTTTCTTTGATAACAATCGGGCTCCTGCATGGGAATGAACTAGGACTTGAAGGCTGCAAAAGGCTTTTCTCCCCCTCGTCTCTCTGCTGCATGGATTTGGGCTGTGAGGACCGCAACGTGTCACCTCATGTCAACTGGTATCTCCATTCCTGCTCATTTCTCTGCCAAATCCACAAAAGATCATTTATTTATGGGAAGAAAGCTTTCTGGACAGCTGGGAATGGATGTTTCACACCTGAGTGCTTAGATAGAAATCAGTAAACCACGGATCTTCCCCTTAGACACTCGGGGTCTGACTCTCCCCTACCCTGCACTTTCTGAAGTCATTCACACCTGCGAGTGTAACATACGACTGTTCTAATTTGGTGCTTCCACTCTGCCCTTGTGTAAACGATGACACAAGGTGCAGAGCAATGGAAAAAATCAGGCCGTGTGTGACGGTATTAGAGGGCTGATCAGGATAGTGTCCTTGTATGGAGTAAGGTCCTCAGCTGGTGTAATCACTACTGACGTCAATGCCGCTATGTCGTTTTACACCGACTGAGGATCTGGCCTCTTTCAACTATCCTCTCTGCTTTAAAAAACCAAAATGTTCCACTGATCGAGGGGGAAGAGCATTAGTCTAAGTACAAGCTTGGTGCAACTCACGTTTCTCTTCCACTTACAAAACGGAAGCGGATGCTCTTTCTTTTGTCCCGTGCTCTCTTTCAGAAGAGCAGCAGACAGCCAGATCCACCGTCAGCACAAGGCTCGGGCCTTGCTTTCAGATCTGGCAACGGTCACCTTTTGCTTTGCAAACGCCGGATCCTGCTTTCTGCGGGGACTCTTCTGGATTCCGGAATTTCCACTCAAGCTATCGCCCCTGGAAACGCAGCTTGAGCTTGGGGCTTTTTGCAGTGCTGCCTCCCATACTGTGAGACAATAGGCTGCAGCCTTTCCAACAGCAACCGAGATTTTTAAAAAATGGGTAAAAGAGAGTCCCTTGTCAGTACTAAACGCAAACATGTCAACAGTGATCTGTGATTCTGGGCGTCTCCGATTTTAGTGCCCAATTTGAGACTGATTTTCCTGATCATCCAATGAAGCGGAAGTCAGTTAGAGAGAGCGCTGAAAGTGCAAGACCACTGCTTATCCTACAGTATCGTCTTAGGTCTTGTCAACACTACGGGGGTAAATTGATCTAAGCTACGCGATTTGAGTTATGTTAGTAGCTTAGATATACTCACTGCGGGGTCCGCACTACGCGATGTTGACGGGAGACGCTCTCCCGTCGACTCCCCTTACTCTTCTCGTTCCGATGGAGCACTGGAGTCGACGGGAGAGCGCTCTGCGGTTGATTTAGCGGGTCAGACCCGCTAAATCGACCCCCGGTGTATTGATTGCCACAGCGTCAATCCTCCGGTAAGTGTAGACAAGCCTTTGTTTCCTTGTGCTCCACTGTCTGTCTAACCTACCTGTTGTCTCTTGTTATAAACTTATATTGTGAGCTCTTTGGAAGAGAGATCATTTTTGTTCTGTGTTTGTACAGCGCCTAGCACAGTGGGTCCTGGTCCATGCTGCTCCTGGTTCTCTGTCATGGACACAGTTACTTGTGTCTGTCCCATGCCTGAATGCAAGTGAGGTGCCTGTTTTGAAATTCTGGTCCATATTCCCCACAATCCCTGTTTCCACATCGTTACACAGACATCCAGTCCCACAGTGCAGACAGATGAACCGTACCTCTTTAAGCACTAGCACACACTTGCCAGGCCCAACAGACTGAGGTAGCTCTGCTATTCTCCCTTTGTTTAAATATGGACCTGAGAAGCAGCGATGATTGATGAAGAGCTGGGGGCAGCAGTATCGCCCATTGACGGTACCTGCAAGAAGAAAGCGATGTTACCAAGACTGCAATTGTTTTCCTGCAGCAAACCTAAGAGTCTCTTCTTTCTGCTAGATGCTTGCAAAACTACCAGCAACTATCCTGGCGCTAGGATCGGGTCCCTGGTAAGCACAGCTCAGTGTCCAGAAAGATCTCATTCATGACACCATCAATAGTACTTATAGGGTCCACGTTACCAGAGTATCTGAGTGTCTCATAACTGTTAACCCTCCCCTGAGGTGTTATTACAGATGGGAAACTGAGGCATAGAGAGGATAAGTGACTTTTCCAAGGTCAAAGAGGAAGTCTCTGTCTGAGCAGGGAATTGAACTCAGGCCCCAAGAATCCCAAGGTAGCATGTTAACCACTGGGCATGCCTTCCTCTAAGCACATGTGCTTAGGCCTCCTTTCCAGCTACTATGAACAGTATAAACAAATGGTTAATTTCCTGGTACAGGCTTCTGTGCCTGGATTGAAAGGCCTGGATGGTGTTGGCATGTAACCATGTGGGTGAACTGTGGACCTGAACAACAACAGAGTGTTGGAGAGTTTAAGTGCCCCACAGCTTTGGCTGAGAGAGAGAGCCACTCAGCTCTGTGGGGAATGGGGCAGTCCTCGTCATGTTAATTTGAGTCAGAGCCCATTACTTCTTTAAATCATATCCAGATTTCCACATAGCTTTCCTGGCCCTTTTACCATTCTTGATGTCTTCCCCTACCCCTCTGTTGAGGAATGGGACCTATTGTGATCTGATTATAATGCCAGGAGTGGAGACTTAGAGCTCTAATTGAGTCTCTGACACTACCTTCTTTTGTGGCCTACGGAATTTGCCTCAGTTTCCCCACCTGTAAAAGGGGAACGATAATATTTCGCTCCCTACTGTATCACTGTCACAGGGATGGTGTGAGGGCTAGTTAGTTCATGATTTTAAGTATTATTACTTCTATTATCTCCTCAAGCACCAGTCACAGCAAGAAAAGCTAGTGAACACCCTGTAATCTATACTTTCAAGAAACCAGGACAAAAGCAAATTTTAAAACGTGGCCTTCAAACAAAGGGGTAATCCCAATTTAGATTCCTGTGTAATGAACTGTCTAAATATTATGACCTAAAATGTGCGACCTTCATTAAGGGGGAAAACAGAAATCACTTTCGGTTGTAATAACGGTTGATGTGCTACACAGCTAGGCACGCGGAGGGATAATGAGGCAAATTTAGTTCTGATGTAAACAAGTTCAACGCCGCTGACGCCAATAGAAAACGGCAGTATCGATTTACACCAGGGCTTTATTTGGTCTGACACCAGGACACTGCCTGGAATGGAGCGCTTCAAGGATCAGACTCTCAACACTTTTGACGCCCACCGGCAAACCCAGGTAACTTGAGACCGAGAGAGAGAGTGAAAGGGACAGACAGACCCACACAGGTGCACACAGAGCCTCCGCTGATGTAAATCAATAACATTCTATTGACGTCAGTGGAGCTATGTGGACTTACCCCAGCTGAGGATCTGGCCCTGGGAGTACGTGTAGGTCTGTGTATAACACACACACACGTCTACACCTCTGGCTTTTCCACCACACTTTTGCCAGATGAAGTCTGAAATGATAAAGGAGCTTTCTGGTCGCTGAGCAGACTCACCTGTTGTGTCTGGCTGAGGGACTGGGCAAAGGTCATGAGGTATTTTCTCAACAGGCACTGCGGATGGCAACCTGCTTAACGACAATACGATGCACTTAATACCCGGAACCTGGGTGATGGATCAGAACCTGAGTAACTCAGGGTTTTGCATCAGTCTCATGAAAGTGTGGTCGTCATTTAGTACCCTGATATCTGCATGGAGATTATAATACTGACATTTTGCCTCAAACGGTATGTCTATACTTACCTCCGGGTCCAGCGGTAAGCAATCAATCTTCTGGGATCGATTTATCGCGTCTTGTCTAGACGCGATAAATCGATCCCGGAAGTGCTCGCCGTCGACGCCGGTACTCCTGCTCTGCGAGAGGAGTACGTGGAGTCGACGGGGGAGCCTGCCTGCCGCGTGTGGACCCGCGGTAAGTTCAAACTAAGATAGTTCGACTTCAGCTACGTGAATGACGTAGCTGAAGTTGCGTATCTTAGTTCAAAGTGGGGGGGGTTAGTGTGGACCAGCCCATAGCCTCAAAAGGATTTAGGTGACTAGCTCCTATTGAAATCAATGGGAGTTAGATAGCTAAACACCTTTGAGCACCTGGGTCTTTAAACACAACACTATCCCAACTAGAATGACTCTGCTATGTCTTACGGTCAGGGATCCGTGCATTTGGGCGCTTTCACTGAAATTCACCCTGGCTGCAAAATTGTGCTCCAGAATCTGAACTTTAATTTTTTTTAAAAAAATTAAGTTTCTGGCTTAAGGAGGCAAAGATAACGTTAAAAACATGAACCAAGTGTAAACGGATGCAGCATTGTCTGCAGGAAGCCAGAAACCGCTTGTAAAGGTATGAGCTACCCCATCGATCCCAGTCAGGGCGCAGTGGGCAGCTCGATTTTGTGGATTCTGGAATTTTTTCCCACCTGCTGGAATTCAGCCTTTCTGCCATGAATTCGCAGAGTCAAATTACAGTGCAGACCCAACTGAGATAAGATTCTGAAATGTCCTGACTAGTTTAGACTAGTGACTGTTTTATTTTTGAAAGGAAGCCCTGCAAAAAGATTCAGCCGCAGGACTGACACTGTAGTTACGAATATGATGTACAGTAGAACCTCAGAGTTAAACACCGCAGTTACGAACTGACCCAATCAACCACACACCTCGTTTGGAATCAAAAGTATGCAATCAGGCAGCAGTAGAGACCAAAAAAAAGCAAATAGGGCACAGTACTGTGTTAAACGTAAACTATTAAAAAACTAAAGGGAAAGCAGCATTTTTCTTCTGCATAGTAAAGTTTCAAAGCTGTACTAAGTCAATGTTCAGTTGTAAACTTTTGAAAGAACAACCAGAACGTTTTGCTCAGACTTGCGAACATTTCGGTTACGAATCACCTCCATTCCCGAGGTGTTTGTAAGTCTGAGGTTCTACTGTAGCTGTTGTACACCATTCCCCATAGAGAACTGAATTAATCTACAGAGTGAAACTGCTTTTAAACAGAAACCTACTGCTTTTCTGGTTGCACCACTGCAATCTTCCTCTTCTTTCGCACTGCAAAATGAGAGAGGAAGAGAGAAATATATGGTCTGTTGTATAAATGGCTGGAATATAAAATCACATTTAACACAACGAAAGGCTCTTCCATGCTCAGCCCCGCTTTCTGTATTTTTTTTTTTTAATGAGCCGCCATACCATTAAAAAACGAGTGTTTTAAAGAGGCTGTTGTACATTTAATCTTGCTACTGCAAAGCGGATATTGATTTTCTGGGATCTGTACTTAACAAATATTAAAATAAAAGTAACACAAATATTTTTCCGTGCAGAAACACACGTGCAAGATTGCATTTTGCAAGCGTGACTACCCCAGCATTGTTGCGCCCCATCTCTAAATTGTGATAAGGCTGCTCAATGTTGCCATAGCAGTAGTCTTCCAAATTAGGTCTGGCTGCCTGATTTTTAACTCCGATATATTTAACTCTTCAAAAGGATTTGACACATTTAAAAAAAAAAACCATTTGCCTTTCAAATGTTAATGAATATAAACAGACTGATGATAATTATTTCAGCTGGAGATGGGAGATTTGTGTCCATTACACCCCACGAACGGCTTGATGACACCCGTTCTTGGGATCTCAATCTGGGGTCATGACCAGGCCCCAGGGGAGAGCAGGATTGTGCCGACCTTCCCTTTCTGTATTGTTAACTGTTCTCAACTCTTTCTCCCTCCTTCCCTTGGGAGGCCGGTTTTCATCCTCCCTTTTTTCTCCTCCGCACCGAGGATTGCCGTATTCCCCACACTGATCAGATGTCTTCACCCTGTCATCAGGTGGAGTTGGGAAGGGTGAACCTTCCAAAGAGCTTCCCGGCACCTCCTCCACTCGCAGGGCGGCGGTGGGAGTGCTTCTGCAAGAGGCGGTGAAAGCTAACACATCCTCCCGCTGTAGCTGCTCCTCGGCCCTGGCCTTGCCCGACCCCCGCCTTCTCCCCATCCCCTTCCTCTCTTCAGGTCAACCACACACCACAAGGGAGGGGCACCGCTTGGAGTCTGTTTTGGGCTCCGCTTCTCGGGCTGGGTCTCCATTCACCAGAAGGGCTGCAGCGGCGGTATATATGGCCCTGGATGGAACCCACCTTGACTCTGGGGAAGCTCAGACCCAGATCTCAGCTTTGTGCCTGGCATCTCTCTTTCGAAAGGGCTGGGCTCAAACCCCAGAACCAAACTTTTGGAAGGTTCCCAGCACATGGGTCCATCCTTGGGGTTTAGGTCCCTCTCTTAATGGGACTAAGGAATTTGGGACCTGCTCCTGCACAAGAATCTCAATGGGGATTGTGCAAGCAGAAAGCTTGCAGGATCTGGGCCTTTGGACATAAACAGCATCTCTCCTCTCCAGTGTAAGGAAATAGAGAAGCTGGTCCTATAACATCCCCAGGACAATAACGTTTTTTAAATACATGGATACTTTAGATCAGCAATACAGAGGGCTGGCTTAGGGCCTGAGCGTGGGCTGATCCCTTGGGTCCGTACTTGCTTGTGCAGCCAAAGCTGAAGCCCCTGGGCCGTAGCATCCTCACTTCTATTTTTAGTGAGCAAGCTAGAGCCCAGCTAGCACCGGATCCGTCTACATGAACTGCCGTCCACACCAGCAGCTGCTATGTAGACATATCCTTAGCACTGGGAAATGGTGCTAGGCTGCCAGATCTGGAGAGCGAAGCCCTCGGTTTTATTGACCATCTGGGTACAGCACGGCAGTACTGGCTTCCCCACACGTGTTCCTCAATCCTGATCTGGAGAGTAAAAGCTCTGTGGTGGCATGCCCCTAAGTGAGTTAGGAGCATACATTCCATTGAAAGTCAACAGGTCTTGTGGTCCTAACTCACTTAGGTGCTTTGGCCTTGCTGTATCCCATGATCAGTTCCCTATGCCATCCAGTTCCTGTCCACTTTGTTATCATAGAATATATGAGGGCTGGAAGGGACCTCAGGAAGTTATCTAGTCCACCCCCCTGCTCAAAGCAGGACCAATCCCCAGGCAGATTTTTGCCCCTAGATCCCTAAATGGCCCCCTCAAGGATTGAACTCACAACCCTGGGTTTAGCAGGCCAATGCTCAAACCACTGAGCTCTCCCTCCCCCCGATATCTCTCACTTTGGGTATGTCTACACTGCAATCATGGGGCATGACTGCCGCATGTGTTGACGTACTTGGGCCAGCTTTGATCTACCTAACTTGGGTACAAGAGCAGTGAAGCCATGGCACCACGTGGTTCAACGCAGGCTATACAGACCTGACCAGAATCCTGAGTAATTACTCACACATGCAACTACAGCTTCACAGTTCCGGCACCTGAGTTAGCGACATCAAAGCTAGCTTGGGTATGTCTACACGAGCTGCAATTGTGGCCCGGGATTGCAATGCACCCTTAGAGTCTTTGTCACGTATTCCTAAGGGACTGTGTTCTCCTTAAGGTCTTGGTCGGCTGAGAAATTAATTTCAGAATGATAAAACCCAGATACCACTGTTACGACCAGGTTAGACATAGGCCACATTCTGCAACCCTTAGTCACACAAGCAGCAAATAGTCCCATTCGTCAAGGGATTCCTTGGGTGAACAGGTTCTAAGTACTCCATCCAAGGGTCGCAGAGTTGGTAGGTAGGAGGAGCAGATTAGGTATATGTGGCTGCTGACTAAGAAACCTATGTGTATAGTGTCTATTTGCTTGTGGTTTCATGTACTTACAAACTGCTTTGTGGGGCGGCGTGAGGTTGTAAGCATTTGCTTCACACCAGCCAACTGGGAAAATGTCCATCGACTCTACATCAACTATATACTCCGGAGCAGGCGTCTGTAAACCTAGAAACACAAATTTATACTGCAATTTACACACGGGACGCCTGAGCTCGGAGCGGTTCCGGCATTCGTCACAAACCAAGGCAAGGAAACGATGGCGCACGTGCAAATAAATCGGCTTCCCTGCATCGAGATAAGGCATCGTTTTGTCTTCAGTTTCCTACAGGGAGCAACGACAAGGCTGTTGCATTTAAAGCGCATTGTGATTCCACAGCAAAACGGCAGCAAGAGACCATTAAAGATGTACGGTCGAGCAACTGAAAGTCAGCAAAATGGCCAGGTTAAGGCTGTGTGAGCCCTTCCCCATCCTGACACCACAGGGCGCGATGAAGTAAGCCCTTCGCCTACGGATTCATTGATTTTAAGGACACAAGGGCTCATTATGATCATCAAGAGACCCCATGAAATCCACTAGGGACTTCGCTATTGCTATCAGTTTTACGTGGAAAGTGCTCAGAGAGTACAGTGGAAGTGACTGGCGGGGTTATCAAATGCTCACGTAAATGATCAGTAGACTTTGCTCTCCTGTATCCTTGCCTTTGCATCTGTTACAGCATCCTCGCCTCCTGCTTAATGCAGCGCTATTTGACAGTGCCCAGCCAGGGAATTTTCCACTAATGAATGTTCACCAAGAGCCAGCAGCCAAACTGAAACAGTAATTGAACTTTGTGAGGGCAACACAGTCCTTCGGTGAGGAGGTGCCTGCAACAATGGACTCTCCAGCTGAGCCTGGGAGCAGAAGGTCTAGTGAATACACAGTTGCAAAGGCATAAAAATACGCCCGGGAGCTCATAACACTGGAAGAAAGGGCAAAGAAAATGACGCTGTGTGTCTCTATGGCCCTCATTAGAGTAATAGCTGAGCACCTTCACATCATTAATGCATTGTATCCTCACCACTCTCTTTGCGGTACCATCCCAGTTTTACAGGTGGGGAACTGAGCCATATTGCAGATTGCAAGACTTGCCCACCAACACAAAGGAGGTCTGTGGCTGAGCCAGGAATCGAATCCAAGTCTCTTGAGTCCAAGACCATCCTTCCTCCCTTGTAGGAACCTCACTAAAAATGTTGTCAATGAGGAACGGCCTGTTTTTAGGCATGTAGAATTTTAACTCCTTATACTGCAAAACATCTCATCCCAATTTCTGTGTTCGACTTCAGCTAAAGACCTGGTCCAAAGCCCAGTGACGTCAATGGAAAGATTCCTATAGAAGTCCATGGGCCTTGGATGAGGCCCTAAATGCACAGCAAGATGCAGGAAATCAACTCAATTCCAGCACCAGTGTCATGACCAGGACGTGGGCAGTCAGATCTAGTGGTCAGAGCAGGAGTCAGGAACCAGGAGATCAGAGTCTGAGACAGGCTTGTGGGCAGACTGAGAATCAGGCACCAAGAGGCAGGCAGGGTCAGGTGCCAGGTTAAGACAGCAATCAAATAGCAAAGTCAAGGACAAACCAGGATGGGACGTCAAAGTCTAGGGTCTATCACAAGCAGGGTCTGGAGCAGAGAGAGACAAGCAGTCTCTGCTGCTCAGATAGCTTCCCTTCATGGTGTCCTGATTTAAGTACTGGTATTGGCCAATCAGTGGGCTGCGAGGGGCCGCCACTCAAGTCCTGCTGGGCGGTACATCCTGCTGAGCCCAGCCTCACAGGATCCACCCATGGGAACTGACATAAGCCTCCTGCGGTGGTGCAGAGGTGCCAGCAGGCCAGAACCTCCATGGGCCCACATTCCAGGTTCTAATACAGTGACCAAAATGGCCCAGGACATCCTTTGCTTTCATTATTTCAACTGCTCTATGTTACTGTTCCGATCCAATAATTCTTTTCTTTTTTCTGCTTATAATGACAGGTGCAACATTAAAGTTTGAGCCTAAAATTTTACAACTGCAGCCACTCCGAATGGCAAGGACGCACCAAAATGTTTATTTTCTCATCCTGCCACACTGACTCAACAAAGAGATATACATCCAACCACGCTTACATGGTACTGTTTTTTACGTGAGCATTTGATAACACCACCAGTCACTTCCCGCATCTGATTGCTGCACTTAGCTTGAGCCATATAACAAACTGGAAACAGCTGGTTTGCAATTTCTGTTTGCCTGATTTATGCATTTTACATCACTGTCTTCACGGCCCAAGAAATGGCCAGACGAATCGAGACATTAGGAATAAAAGTAGAATGCGTGAAGAATGAAAAATTCCATCTCCCATTAAATATATTACATTATTGCAACTTCAGCAGCAATTCTTGAAAATATAAACCCAATTCGTCCCTGGAAAATTACTAAGGTTTTTACTTCACCAAATTCCTAGCGTAGCCTTACATATTATGCAGAGGGTATACATTATTACTTATATAAATGCAAACCAGAAAGCTTCAGCGTTAAAACCTAAAATGAACTAGTAAAAATTTACAATGCAGATCCTGAGTAATAAAGTAGCAGAAAGCGATGGGATACACACACACACACACACAATCTCATATCAGCCCTATGCATCTTTCCCGCTTTGGGTGAGCTATACTGCCAGTCATTAAATGCTCCCCGTGAAGTTTACAGAGTTTTGCTACTGCCTGAAACATGATTTATTCAGCAATGGTCCCTTATGTCTAACTCGACATGGCTTAACTACTGCAGCCTGTTTTACAGACAGTTTGTGTTGTCAAACTGCATAACTGGAATGGCACAATCTGCCTGCTGCTTGGACCCATTGCCTAGCGCTACAGACTTTGACCTGCCTAATGCCCGGTATCCTGACCTTGGCCTGACCCCCTCCAGGTTAGTTCGACTGGCTCCTGCCTGGTCACCTGAACACTGATCTCCTGAACCAGGTCGCTAACCACTAGACCTGGCCGCCTATCTCCCAGCTCTGACAGCTGCTACCAAAATCTCACCTGAATCCCCAATGCTTACAGATTTAGCTGAAGCGTGAAGCTTTATGTCCCTTCCAAAACTTCCTTTAGCATTAGCTATTCTAAGGACGTAGCATTCACTATAACAGTAACTGTCATAGGGCCAGACTGTGATGCTATTGCTTACAATGAGTAGTACCATAAGCTCCAGTGGCACAATCCAGGGTGAAAGATGCTTTTTGAGGGGATAGCATAATCTTGCTCATAATTAGAGCCGGTCAGGAATTTGTTATGAACCTTTTTTTTTTTAAACCAAAACCCGATGAGTTATAGAAACCAAAACTGTTTGCAAAACAGCATCAGGGTTGACAAAACGCCTGACTCAAAAACTTTTGGGTAAAAAAATGCTTTAAGGCAGTTGAACTGAAAAATTTTGGTTCTTTGAATTGAAGTGACTTTTTATTTCAAAATTTTAATAAATGTACACTAAAAAGATAAAAGGCACCATGTTACTTTCGTTTTACACCTCTGGGAGGCTTCCACTATGTCACAGCTCAATGAGTTTCCTCACAAGGTACGTCTACACTGGAGCTGGAGCTATAATTCCCATGTACCTGTACAAACTCTGATCGAGCCAGTGCGCTAGAAATAGAATGCAGCCATGTTGGCAGGAAGGGCGAGCCGCCCCGAGGACATACCCATCGGAGACGCTAGGCACGCTCTGAGTACATACCCATCGGAGACGCTAGGCACGCTCTGAGTACAGACCCATCGGAGACGCTAGGCACGCTCTGAGTACAGACCCATCGGAGACGCTAGGCACGCTCTGAGTACAGACCCATCGGAGACGCTAGGCACACTCTGAGGACATACCCATCGGAGACGCTAGGTATTCAGGAGGCTTGCCCCTCCCAACACTTGCACTGCTGAGCTACGCTGCTATTTTTAGCGCACTCGCTCAGTTAGAGCTAGAATGGGTATGTCTCCTCAAGCTGGCATTTACATCTCCATTTCTAGTGTAGACACACCCACCATGTGCTGGGTTGGTGGAGATTATTTTTATGAACACAACTGGAACATTTGATCTGTTTGGTGTTATGAAATATCTTGATTATATGCTTTGGTTGTCTTATATACTTAGGGTTTAAGCCAAGCCCTGAGTATTAGAAGACAGGGTGAGACCTCGTGTGAAGTATCTGGTACTGACCACGGTTGGAGAAAGGATAGTGGACTAGAACTAGTGGATTGGTTTTAGATCAAGGCTCTAGTGTGCAGATGAATTTCAGATAAAGCAGGATTCAAGGAAAACTGATTTCTGATTTGGATAAGCAGTTAGAAAGTCAGTCCAAAATGTTGCACCTCGAGGTGTATAACTTGAAACAATGCGTATGTTAGAATTCCTCACTGAACTTTGGCTTTAATACGAATCTATGCTACTTTTTATTTATACTTCTGCAGCTCTTAAAGGGGCCAACTGAGACCAGTACGCCGTCAGGCTCAGTGTTGTACATAAACACAGGTTGTGGCTACGCCAAGGTTTTAAGCACAACCTTCGACCAAAGGTTTGTGGAGGGTCCAGGTTAGCATGTACAATCATGTTAGCTAACTTGAGTTAAAGGCAAGTCAATTAATTTGAGTTAAAAAATTCCAGTGTGACAAAGCCATAGTGAGACAATCCCTGAACTAGAGCTTACCGGGGAAAAGGAAGGAAGCAAAGATGAAGTGAGTTGCTCAGGGTCACACAGTCAGTCAGTGGCACCGCTGGGAATAGCACCTACGTCTCCCGAGTCCTGCTCTAGTGCCCTGTCCATTGCACCCCGTTGCATCTCATCTGCGTCATGCAGCTTTTGACTGTGCCACCTTGAGCTACGATTTCATCGGCTCTCACATGCTAAGCAGCATTTGGCATGGAGCAGGGATGTAGCAAGAACAGGGTACGTGCTGCCTATTTTACGCCTAGCTAAAACGTCCCTGCCAGGGTTCTGGTCAAATGGAATTTCTATTTAGATACCAACTGAGTTATAAAACACTGACAATGGGATCAATCAGAGTGATACTGACATGGCCTTGACGCATGATGCTACTTTCTCTAAACTCCACACGGCCTCTGCCTTCACTGTCCCTTCTACAGCGAGCTGTCAGTGCAACGACGGAGGCACTTTGGGTTATGTGTCCGTGTTTTCGTCAACTTTAAGGGGTCTACCTGAGCCCATGAAGGCACTTCTCACCACACATCACAGGATGCCATGTGAAATGAAGTGGCAGGTAACCCACAGTGACAGGGTCAAACAACCAGGAAAAGGTTATGGGCCACCAGCGGGTCACATGACCCAGTCGAGGATTTAAAGAAGGGTGTATTCTCTTTCTGGAGGCTGCAGACCCCACAGGCTTTTTCCCATGCCTCCAGAAAGAGGGCACATCCTTCCCTTAAATCCCCTGCTGGGTCATGCGACTAGCCCTTAACCCTTTCCTGGCTGTTTTATCCTGTCACGCCCACAACTGGCCAAAAGAGTTTGCATGAATTCATGAGACCTAGAAGAGCCCAGATTTATACAGCTCTAGCACAAACACAAGCTCACCTTTACTGTACTGGTACCTGTGTGATACTGTAACCCAGCTTTGAGAAATAAACCAGCCAGGCACTAACCAGGATATTGATCCACCAGTGCATGTGAGGCTTTGGGGGTGAGGGGCAGATCCTTTCATCCTTCTCTCTTCTTACTTCTCCACCAGCTGAGCTCCTGGGCTCTGCAGCACAGAAGCAGATGCAGGTGTTCCTGAGCTCTGCAGGAGAAAGCTTCCTCCATTGCTCCTGATCTCTGCAAGACACATCCCACCCCCCTCCGTGCTTGAACCCAGCCAGAGATTGACTCCCATTTCTCCCCATCCCTACCTTCTGCTAGGAGGGGAGAAGCTCAGGACCCCACGACACTGAGCTCCTGTGATGCACCACTCACCATCCTTGGTTTTTAACTTGCGAAGTATGAGTAGGCCAGTGGAGTTCTTGAGGGTCACTGGAATAAACCTGTGGTTGCCTGTATCAAGTATCTGTGATTTTAAGCATCAGTTCGGGGATGCTGTACCATAGTGACATCATAGAGTCCTTCTGGGATTTACTTAATGCCTTGACACGCTGAATGGCACCTGACCACAGTCATAGAAAGGCACAGCTACACCATGACTGAGTGGTATCAACACAATCACAACACCAAGGAGTCCATCCTGAAAGCTCTCGGAACAAAGAGCTCCCAGTGATATCGAGCAGAGCACCTACCGGGTCAGACTTCAGGCCAGAATGCTCATGCTGTTGCTATTTCATAATATATTTACTGTTGCATTGCACGGTGCCTTTCAAATGATACTTTTTTCCCACCCTGACTGAATTGGCCTTGTCAGCACTGGTTCTCCACTTGTGAGGTAACTCCCTTCTCTTCATGTGCCAGTATATTTATGCCTGTACCTGTAATTTTCACTCTATGCACCTAAAGTGGGCTTTTACCCGCGAAAGCTTATGCCCAAAAAATCTGTTAGTCTTTAAGGTGCCCCCGGACTCCTTGTTCTTTTTGTGGATACGGACTAACACGGCTACCCCCTGATACTTTATAAGACATTTACTCTGTATTGTACAGCACCTTTCAAATTGTGAACAGGACCTTCAGAATCAGACCCCCTGAGAAATCAGTTCTATGGAATCATGACACCTGGGACTCAGTTTGTATGTGCGGTTAGGGGCTGCCCTTTTGATTGTTTCAGTTCGGGCACCATAACTAACTGGCCACACCTTGGCCTCCTGGAATGTGCCAGTGGTGAGCTGCAGAAACATAAATCTAAGAGGAGCCGGTGAAGGCAGGCCCATTGGACCGTCAAAAGTGCCTTAGATGTTTTCAGGATTCTCAGAAAGCAAACAAAGGTGTAGATTCCACCCTTAAATACACTCACCCAATTCCCATTGCCTTCAGTGGGGGGCTGCACATGTCTCTGAGGGCAAAACCTGGCCATGAAATTAGTTCTTAAAGAGCCCTTTCCCTTCCCTTTGCCATGAAACACCACTAGGCACAGCTGATCTCACACGGGTTCTGCCATGACAGCAAACCCAGTAGCTGTAAGTACAGCAGCTTCTGACTTCTCTTACACTAGCTTGGGCTTAGGTGGTGTCTGGGTGAGATACCTCCAAGGCAGGGCAGTTTTTATTCCGGAAGCAGCAATCTGTCGGTACTGAACAAACACCCCAGCCCAGTGTACGGGGGCTTAATACTGCACCAGGTGGCACCTTTCAGCTATGACATAAAACCAGGATCCTGGCCTTTTGTGATCAATAACGATCCTAGTACACTCTTTTGAGCTCCAGTGTCATGGCCAAATTCCAAGCTAGGGGCTTGATCCATGGCAAGATTCAAGGAGGGATGGGACACTTATATGGACAAGACAACGACCCAGAGTTATGATGATAAATAGTTTGGAAGGGATATTAAACCTCATGCTTCAGAGCTTAAACCAATCTCTATTAGAGATCAAGATGAGACCCATGTAGAGGGGAGATTATCCCTCCTCTGCCTATTGCGGTGTTCTTACACCTTCCTCTGAAGCACCTGGTGCTGGCCACGGTCAGAGACAGAATTCTGGACTAGATGATCCAGTCTGGCAGTTCCTTTATTGCTGCGTGCAGAGGAGGGTGTGGCATGCATAAGGGTGCAGTGGGGAGATGCAGCAAACACAGATGATGATGAAAAGTGCAAGATACTGAGCACAGCTCACTTTGCTTGCTCTGCCCCCCTGGGTGCACAGCCCAGAAAGGAGTGGGTTGGGGCATGGAGACAGAGGGTGCTGGGCCTAATCCAAAACATGTAAATGAATTGCTCATCCGCCATTGGGTAGAATGCTGAGTTGCTTCTCTACCCATCTACCTGGATGGAGAAACAACACACCAAAGTGAGTGGCACTTACACACCTGTCCTGTTTTTCCTCACACCTTTGCCTCTGCTTCCATTCAGGATCAGGACCCAAGTGATTACATGGTGTCAACCTCCCTTCCTCATGCACTTGTCAGTGGACATTGTATCTTTCTTTACTTCCTGTTCTACACCACTGTATAGGGTTGCTGTGCACTCGAATAATGGCCATGTTCCACCCCATCCTGACCACCAGTGCAGCACCTTTTCAAACACTTTGAGATCTCGGAGTAGAAAGGTGCTACTGAAGTACAAAGCACTATTCACTGTCCAGAGCAAAAGCGCAGCAGAATAAGATCCCGTACAGTAATTAGCTAAACATTTCTCTTGCTTTTTGTCACATGGTTTTAACAAACGTCCTTGCTTGGTGCCCAAACTATGATTAACGTCCCACTCTGCAAAAATAGAGCTACGGCCTTTATTTTGGACTCCAGGCCTGCAGCTTCTATTTATAGGTGATCACTGAACCAACACCATGGGCAAACAATACAAAATGTTACACGCACCTAATGGAAACCCCAGATTATCTCAGCACCCATCAAGGCACATTTAATATATCCACTTCCCTTGTTTCAGTGACTCATTGACAATAATTTTAACAGCACATGGAAGACGAGCACTGGGTTCTGAACATCAGTCCTACAAAGCTGTACTCATTCCAGGAGTCCGTATTCACCCAAGCGCTGCCCTGGAGAAAGAACTACTCAGGTAAGCGTTTGTATAAACACCAACGGACGCTGGTTGACAGTAGCCGGGATCAAACTTGGGACCTCTAGAGCTTAATGCATGAGCTTCTACTGCCTGAGCTAAAAAACACATGGCTGTAGCAGGCTCATCAAACTCTAGCTGCCACTAGAGGGGGACAGAGTGCCACACCAAGCCGGCATGGGTTACATAGGCATGATCCGGTCCATAATTATCTCATCAACATCTCATTTCAGGAGAGGATTAGTGGAAAAGAAATTCTTTTGAGATGAATGTGAGCCCAATTAGTTATCCCTACTGCAGAGCCACTATTACTTGTAGGGTGGTGGTGCTTGCAACGGCAGAGTGCTTTCCAAAGGCTATAGACAGTCCCCGCAGGAAGAGCGTGTGGCCTAAAATGAGAAGTGGCAGACAAAGAGCGGGAGAAAGGGCTGCTAGATGCATGCAGATGGCCAGGGGGAAGGCTGGCACAAGCCTGGTTAGTTCCCGGGCGTTAGGTGGGTGGGTGCAGGTAGGAAATGGAGTGAAAGGGAAAGGCGAGGAAGAAATGAGGTTGATTGGGTCAAGCAAAGGGGTCAGGGAGGTGGAAAGGTGGGGGCTATGAGAGTGCATGGCTGGACTGGAGCAGAGTTCCAAGGCCAGTAGAAGTCTCATTATGTCATCAGCAGGCCAAAGCTCTGAAGGCAGCTTCTGCAGTCGTGAGGAGACCTTTCAGAGGCTGCCTTGGAAGCTTCCCCCCACATCGTGTTCGTTGTTACTGGCCATGTGGGTTTAGAGGACCCTGTGAGCTAGTGTCCTGGAGCCCTGTGGTCAGGGAGAAGGGAGAAGGACAACATTGGATAATTTAGTCCTTATTGACTGTATATAAAAAAGCAGGTGGGGGGGTGGGGAGCTGCGAGGCATGCAGGATGGGGGACAGCAATTGACAGGGCCGGAATAAACGTACCCAATAACACAAAGGCATTAGGCCTCTATGACACTGCAGTCATTTCAACGTACCTTCCAGGTGAAGCCACATTAACCTTCCTTTAACTGAGGTGATAGAAGCAACGCATATTTCAGCAGGGTTCCTGGGGTTCACAGCCTCCAGCTTCATATTCTTAGTAAAGCCCCGGCTGAAGGATGTCTGAAAGAGGTCAAGCAGCAACATTGAAACACAGCACCACAGCACAGAATGGCTTTAAATAGACTCTCCCTTAGTTTCCATGGAGAACACAGGAGATGTCTAGGACCGCCTAGGCCAAGAACTCACCTAGATTCGAAAAGGGATTTAGATGGGTATGAACAATATCCAGCGTTATCATAAAGACAACTTCTGGAAGAGATATTCAAGGTTGTGCTTCAGGGCTTAAGTCAAATTTTGACCGTCAGAGACCAGAATGAGACGTGTGTGGGGGAGGCAGATTATCTCACGTCTGCCTATTGCGGGTCTCTGCACCTTCTTCTGAAGCATCTAGTGCTAGCCACTGTCAGAGACAGGATACTGGACTAGAGGGTCTATGGGTCTGATCCAGTCTGGTAACTCCTGTGTTCCCAGAACCAAATTTCCAGAGCAAACCCTCCATCTGCATGTACAAATTAGAAAACCGTGTACGCATTTACTCACAGAGTTCCCCAGTTTGACTGTGAGCTTGTCTGCAAGAACAATTAGATCACGGCAAACTGGGGTGTGAATCTACATTTTGGGTGGTTTTTTTTTACAGATTTAAAAAAATTATTAAAGCTAATGTTTAAAATCAAGTTTACACAAGTTTAAGAAGGAAGATACTTTACATCTGAGGTCAGGCTTGAGTTATGGGAGATTACAAGTATTGGTTACAAGGTTCACAAGATACATACCTATTATGTAACCAGCATAGACCCAGATTGGGATGTGGGAGTTTTAAAGCACCAGTGAATAAGTGATCTCGGGTATGCTACCCATAGAATGTAGTTAGAGTCCAAGTCAGTATTGGGTACACTTTGATCTAGTCCTCTTTGAAATAGGACTAGATCAAAGCCCATTAACAGTCTGTTAACGTGCGTCAGCTGGGTCCATGTGGGCAGTTAGTCCACAGAGGCTACTGTAGGGTAGATTCACACCCCACTTGCCACAAACTAAAACATTCCTGTAGATAAGCCCTTAGTTCAGTATAGAGTGCCACATCCTCATCTGGTGGAAACGGATGTAGCTCCATTCACTTGAACACAGGTTGACTTCATGTCAAACTGTTGAGTTCTGTTGATGTACATCAGATAAGGATCTGGCCACAAGTTGTAACGGCTCATCTATACCACACAGTTCTGAGAATATGGCCCTTGCCAATTTTTCAGCCTTTTGCGAATAAGCATGTATCTGTCAATGCTAATTACCACCAAGATCTATCCTAGTGTATTACTAAGGTTTGGTTTATCCGGAGTGATAGCATAAGTTTGAAGATTTTATTTTATGTGTACTTTATTATAGGTGGGGCTGGCAGCACGGCCGATTATTAAGGTTGCCCAACACTTCCATTAGAAGACCCTGTTTTCAGTTGTTTATAACTTTGCCGGACTTTAACCGCTTGGGCTGAAATTTTCCATGCTGGGTGTTTGCATCATGCGGAATATTTTGGAAAATTTCAGCCAAAATGATTCGGATGTTTCCGAGAACAAGACCATGTTAAACAATTCTGCTGGTCTTATCTTTGACAAGCTCTAGCTTCTCCATGATTTGGCGCAGAGAGCTGAAATTTAGCAGGTGGCGGGCCTTTGTGTCAGGGATGTGCCTTTTGGCATCCCTGTAAAAATCTGCCCAAATTTAGCCAACGAATAAGCCTTTGAAAAGTCACAACGAGCACATGCTCAGTAGAGACTTGTTAGAGATTGGCAGATTAATTCCCCAAAGATTCCACCTGCACTGGGCGTGCTCCAGCTGGAGTTGCAGGGGGGCTAGAAGGACACTCCCTGCAGTTGCAGTTCACAGCTGCTCCAGGCCAGGCCAGGTCTGTGTCTCTGCCTGGGAACCGAAACTGAAGCAGGGAAAATGTCTCTCCTGTTCTGTCAATGACATTCCACCTCCCCACACCTTGCCCCACTTGCCCCAGGCACCAGGGAAGAGGAAGCCACCTAAACTGAATGCAGAGAGGACAAGAGCCAGACTTGGGATGGAGTGGGAGAAGAGGGAAACTGGGGCTGGGAGCTGAGTGGAGGAGACTGGGACTGGCTGGGCAAGGAGACTGGGAGCCAGGAAGGAAATTGGGAGGACTGGAAGCCAATGAGTGGGGGAGATACTGAGCTCAGACAAAGGGCTGTGGGCAGGGGAGGGAATAGGATTGGCTAGGCAAGGAGACTGGGATTGGGAACCAGTAGGGAGGGGGAAAGCAGGAGAGAGATCTGGTGAAGAGCTGGAGCGGGGAAGAGAACTGGAACTGGCTGGGTAAACAGACTGGGACAAGGGGCTGGTGCTGAGATTGGGCTAGAAGCCCAGAGAGGGAGACTAGCACTGGGAGTCTGTGGGGAACGTGGGTGACTGGAGGCGGGCGGGCGGTGGGGGGGAGATGAGGGAGAGAAATAGAATGAGGAGTGCAGAGGGGAGAACTGGGACTGGCTGGGCAAGGAGACTGGGAGTAGGAGTGATATTGGAGAGACTTGGACAGGGAATCTTGAGAGGTGTGCTTATGACTGGCTGGGCAAGGAGACTGGGATGGGGATGAGAGGCCTGTGGAGCGGAGACTGAGATTGGCTAGGTGAGGAGAATGGGACTGGGACAAGGAGCCAAGGATGGGGAAGAGACAGGGCGGGGACTGGTTGGAAGACAGAGAGCAGATGGGATCTAGCTTGTAGGGAAACAGGTAGAAGAGTCTGTGCCCACTAGGGCACTCTCACCTCCACAGGATGACAACCTACTACTGCTATCAGTTTCTCTGTTAGGTTAAGTGGCAGAGGTCTGTGGCACAGATCTAAAGATTCCAACCCTGCTGATGACCCATGTGGGTGTCAATATGATGCCACATGATAGAATTCCTGGGGGGGATTCACTTTGCTTTTTTAAAAAGCTAGGAAATTACACACAAAAAACTATGTTAGAAGAATGTTATCATGGGTGCAAAATCAAGCCATCAAAATTTAGGAAATGCCAGAATTAAAGCTGCCTGGTGCAACCTAAATTTGGCCCCTTCGTGCATTTGCATGATGATACAATCTTTAATTACACAACCACACACTAGTTTTTCTGACTCAGTCAGTGTACAGGATGGACCTACTCGGGGATGAATCAGGTTTGAGTAGTGAAGGCCTGTCGTCTGTGGGACTCCTGCTTCATCTGTTGCCGAAGTTAAAAGGTGAAGTGAATAAGCAGGGGATTGCAGGAAGAGAAAAGATGGTCTCATGATTAAAGGCAGATGACTGCTGCCCTGGAGAATTGGATTCTATTCCTGTCTCTGCCACAGACTTCCTATGTGATACGAGGCAGACTCTGAGGTCTGATTTGCAGAAGTGCGGCGCACTCACAGCTGCAGCTGAAGTCAACAGGAACAAACATATAAAATGCTAGTGTAACCCACACACCTCCTGAGTGTGGTGCATCCGAAGAAGTGGGCTGTAGCCCACGAAAGCTTATGCTCTAATAAATTTGTTAGTCTCTAAGGTGCCACAAGTACTCCTGTTCTTCTTTTTGCGGATACAGACTAACACGGCTGCTACACTAAAAAACATGTGGCTCCAGAGGTCCCAGGTTTGATCCCAATGACCAGGTTTGTCGGTGTTACAAGCCGGGGCTTGTCTGGAATTTCAATTGGGAAGTCTCCAAAACTTGGGATGTGATTCCTCAGCTTGGGGAAGAATGTAACCCACGCACCTCTGGGGTGTGGTGACCTGTCCCCTCTAGTGACACTGAGACCACTTAGAGCAGGGGTTCTCAAACTGGGGATCAGGACCCCTTAGGGGGTCCTGAGGTTATTACAGGGGGGGTTGCGAGTTGTCAGCCTCTACCCAAACCCTGCTTTGCCTCCAGCATTTATAATGGTGTTAAATATATAAAAAAATATTTTTAATTTATATGGGAGGTATCGCATTCAGAGGCTTGCTATGTGCAAGGGACCACCAGTATAAAAGTTTGAGAACCACTGACTTAGAGCTTAATGAGTCTGCTATGGCCTTAGCTAAGAGCTATGTGGCTTTTAGCTCATGCAGTCAAAGCTCATGCATTTAGCTCCCAAGGTCCCAGGTTTGATACCGACTACTGGGGTCTCTCAGTATTGCAGTAGCCACTGCTGAGTACTCTGAAAAATCAAGTCGTAGATGTCTCAAATTGAGTACCCAAAATTAGTGGAATTTTGACCGTTGTCTCTTGGTGTCTGTGTTTCCCCATCTGTAAAACAGGGATAATACCCACTCATTTCACAGGGTTATTATGAAAATAAATCCATGAACGAAGCATACAGATACTATAGCGATGTGCACCATAGAAAGACCAGGAGGCAATTAATCATTCTGTCTTCAGATTAGGCATGAATTGCGTGCAGTAAATAAGGGATGGGGGCCACACATTGAACAACAAGAAAAACAGCTGCTCATTAAGTGAGCACCATCCATCCTGTGCACCAAACCAGGCAGTGGAAAAAATAGGATGCAATCACGTTATTAAAGAATGTATCAGAATCCATATGCACAAGGGAGGTGAATGAAGGTTGCATGGGCAACCTTCATTCTGGCATTTCCTAACTTTTGGGTGCTTAACATTGAAACCTGACTTTTTTTTTTAAACAAAGGGTTTTATGTGTAATTTTGATTTCAACCGATAAAAGACACTGAATCAAAGAGGTCTCACACACCCTTTGGGCCACATCCTCAGCTGGTGTGAATGAGTTCAGCTCTCTTCACATCAATGGCTGAAGCTATGTTCGCTTCAGTGGAGATTTACACCAGTTGAGGATCTGGTGGGTCATGATTTTGTGAGGCACTCATAGACCATAACGACAGGGATCCATATAAGACCTTAGCTAGACAGACAGGCATGTGGGCAGAAAATTAAAATCACAATTTGCAACAATGCACACAACAGCGGCAGACCATTCGCCGATCCCCCGCACAACCCCAGCAACAAAACAGCCACTCACCTCACAGAGCAAAGAAGGATTCCCACTTTCGGTTCCCATCGAAGCCCCAGGACCCTATAAAACCTCCTCAGATTCCCAAACCCACACGCATCAGCCTTTCCCAATGCCCATCCCAAGAGTCTTCTGCTCACGCATGTACATTCCCCCCTGCCCTGGCCCCAGTGTTCCCTTTCCCTTCACTTTTTTTCCCCATTTAGCTGACCCCCTTCCTAACTAACCCCCACTCCCTCCAAACGAATTATGGAACTAACCTAACATTTGCCTCCATCACACAGTTCACTCTACTTATGTGTTATACTCCTTTCCTCTACGATGTGTCTGCCTTGTCTATGTAGACTGTAAACTCTTTGGGGCAGGGACTGCCTGCTACTCCGTGTTTGTACAGCACCAACTACAATGGGGCCTCGATCTTGGTGGGTCCGTATACATCACCCTAATAAACATGATTATTAATCATTGTCATTAATCCAAGATATTCTTGGGTTCCATCTGGCATGCCTTACACACGAGTCATGGGACAATGGCTTTCATCTTGACTAGGAAAAGTGGACACCTTTCAGTCAGGCGTAACCAATACATGCTAGCTAAGTCCAACCTAAACTCGACCTCTTTTCCTCATCGGGACAGAGCCAATGAGCGTCGTCATTAACTTCCCTGGGGCTGCGCCTGTGACTAAAGGCTCCAGGATGAGGCCTTTATTTCATTAAGATTTCTTGCAAAAATGAAAAAAATGAATTGCACACAGGAGCTTTTTCTTCCTCTCCTTATCGCTTGGACTATTCAAAGCCGTGCCCAACACTCAGACAGGCTTCCCGCTTCTAAAAGCAGCTAACGGGCCATGTTTACAAGACATCAGAGTGAGTTTGTTGAAATGTTTTTTATGCCAGCTAACAAGGAAACACCATCTATCATCAGTCTGGCTCCTTTTGTTGTGATGCCGCGCTAGAGGCTAATTTATAAAGAATCAATGGCAAACCAGTTAGCTGGGAGTTTATTTTCCTAAGCATTTGGCCACGTCAATCCATTTCATAACTACCTCTGCTTGCTAAATAGCCCCAAGGGAAATGGTTACAATGTATCCACTTCGCTGCCACCTCTCCTTGTTGTAGGTGGAAGATGTGTGATTAAAAAAAAACCAAGTTTGTAATAAACATTCCATCAAAGAGCCGCTCTTCACGTGGTAACAAATGGACTAGCCTGGTAGGGATGTCAGGCAGATGACAATGGAGAGACGGCAGTTCTCTGTAGAGAACTGTTTTATCAGGAGTCAAATAATAACAGACACGCGTTCGTACAATGAATGTTTTAAAAAAAAAAGTTATTAGAACTGATTTAATCTTTGAAGGACAATCTCGGGGTGGCTGGCATTGTGAGCACAGCTCCAGTGCCTAATGAAAAGGAAAAAAAAGGAAGGCAGATAAAAAGAAGGGAAGAAAGAAACAAACGGAAAGGAAATGTGACAATCATCACCAGGTTCATTTATTTGCACGTTATCATATCCCTGTCTCCCACTCTCCATCAGTTCCTGTGTTTTAGATTATAAATTCTGCCAGGCAGGGCTTTCCTTTCATACAGGACAGTACAATGCAGGACAGTATGGGGACTCCCCGTCCTGAGGTGAGACGTGATCCAAATCCCACTGATGTCAATGGGTGTCTTTCCAGTGCCTTGAATGGGGTTTGGATCTGGCTTTGGGGCCCCGGAGCTCTACCCTAATAAGAAAGAAAGAAGGGTCACCTATAAGAATTCTAACATGAACGTCAGAGGACCTTTAAATCCAGCCACGCTGAAGGCATATAAGAAAAGCCACACTGTACAGTGATGTAAGGTTCCCGACCCTGAGCATTCCATCGGCAGCACAATGCCGCTGCGCAACGCCAGTTTAACACGATGGAAGATGCACTGCAGACTCGGGAAAAGTGTGCAATGTACCTGAAACAGTAGCAGCATCGTGCTGCTCCTAGGATCACTCCTGCTTGCCGGCAGCGCCCATCTCCAGTACACATCATGCCGGTAGCAGGGACAAAGCGGGACAGAGAACAGAAGGAAGTAGGCGTGGCCAAAGGGACACTGACCACAATGTATGCGCCTCACTACAACACCTGGGCTGTGACCCAGTTCCGTGCATCACAGCAGTTCCATGGTGGGTGGGACTGCAGAGAGGCTATCCAGGGGAAGCCAGGCCCACCCTGCACTTCGCTCTACAATTGTCCTCTCCCAGAATAGCATAGCAGGGGAATGACAGGTGGGGGAATAGCTTGTGCATCTTCTGGCCGATGAACGACTGCTCGTAAGTGACCACGAGGAATCAGCTGCCCACCTGGTTCGAACAATGTATTATTTTGTACAGTTTCAAAGGAATGTTGGGCCCGAATTGCTGATGGGCTCCATGCTCCAATGAAGAAGGCAATCATTTTCTCATACGGACACCAGGCAAGAAGAGCGCTGAACGTTGAAGAGACAGAAGGTTAATGCTTTGCTTAATGAGTGCTGGACTCCTAGACATCAAGATTCATAGACGCACAGCTCCTTTCCTAAGAACAGCCCAGCTAGGCATAGTGTCCAAAGCTTTTATGAGCCTGCAGTGTCACGATGTATAGCACACTCACACACAACTCCTGCTGTATTAGGGAAATTCAAACATTCCCAAATGGTGGAGCTTCCACCTGGCTCAGTCAATGTCCTACTTACTTATACCTCAATGACTTCACTTAGCCTTTTAGTGCACTATATTAAAAACAAAACCCAGAAACAAGAGAAACACTCCAATGAGCAAATCATCCCCACAAAGTCAATAGGAGTCTTTCCATAGACCTCAATGGGCTTGTACAGTATTATTAATTATTTTAATCATGGTAGCACCTACAGTTCTCAACAAAGATCAGGGCCCATCGTGCTGGGTGCTGTACAAACATAGTAAGAGACCTCGAGAGCATGCAATCTAAATAAGCAAGACAGATAAAGAAAGTATTATTGCTCCCATTTTACAGATGGGGAAACTGAGGCATGGAACAATTAAGTGAGTTACTTAGGTTCAGACAGGACATCTGTGGCAGAGCTCTCATCTCCCAGCCCAGTGGTTTAACTACAAGAACATGCTTTCTCACAGAAGGCTTTGGATCAGGCCCTTAGTTCAGAGCAGTAAGTGGGCTTGTTCAAGCTTTGATCAACACCATCACAAAGGGAGAATAAGTCTTACGTTTCTAAAGCAAAAGTGAGGAGCTGCCTCTGCTCCACATTGCTTCTGATAATCTGCCCAGTCAAAGTCCTGGCCAGAGTAACCTGTAGGAGAAGAAAACAGGGAAACATGGTAAGTCATTATTCCATACGGAGGAGAGAAAGAAATGAATATTTCAATGTGACAATAATTTGCACTTCCGTACCGCCTCCTCCCATCTAAGGATCTCAAGGCACTTTACAAACACCAATGAGTTAAGCGCCACATGCCGTTGGGAGGCAGGTAATTATTATCATCCCAATTTAAAGATGGGGAAACTGAGGCCCAGACAGTTTAAGATTACACAGTGAGGAAATGGCAGTGCTAGGAACAAAGACCAGACCTCCCAGCTCCGTGTCAGACACTTAACCCACAAGATCAACCTTCCGGCTTCCCTGTAAATACTCAGGGACTGAAATAGTGTATGTGTGGCATGGGTCCAGCACTCAAAGGAGAATAAACGTTGTCACGCTGCTCTGTGTAATGCTAGTTTTATTTGCTATAGTCTATGTGTCATCCAAAATTACTTCTTATTATTATTCTTTGTAGTGGGAGTACTTAGAGGCCCTCATCAGGGATTGTGGCCCCACTGTGAAAGTGCAGTGCACTCACATGTAACAAAAAGATGGCGCCCATCTCAAGGAACTTACAGTGCATTTAGTTACAACTCTCTATACACACCTGGTGTTGCTGGAACACAGCTGCCTCTAGGGTGGAGGGCAGCCGCTCAGTGGCACATGGCAGTCTACTGGGGGAGAGGAAATTCTTGCCACGTACATCAGGGCAAACCCTCTGAGCTTAATGAAAAGTACCTTAGGATCTTTAATTCTACTCCATTCCAGTTCTAGATATCTTAGGTATTTCTAAGGCCTCCATCGCCATAATATCTCAGCACCTCACACTCGCTAATGTATTGATCCTCCCAACACCCCTGTGAAGTGTGAGTCCTGTTGTACAGATGGGAAACTGAGGCACACAGGATTGATGTGACTTGCCCACGGGCACTCAGGAAGTATAGGTGGAGCAGAGAAATGAACTCAGGGCTCTCAAGTCCTAGGTAGCACCCCAATTTCTGGATCCCTCCTTCCTCTCAGAATGGAGGTCACCTTCATTTATAGGGCCTTGTCTGAAATAGCCCCAGTCCTGAGACTGTATGGAACTCCATGTATCTATCTCGCATGAATGTCTTGTACAACTTGGCTCTTTATACTGTAAGCTCCTTAAGACAGGGCCTGGCTCTGTGTTTCTACAGTGACTAAGAAAATGGGATTCTTATCTTCACTGGGGGCCTGCAGGTGTTACTGTGATAATAACTGTAGAATCATGATCACTGGAAAGTTTCAAGGATGGTTTAAAGCCCAATTTCTCAGCCAGGTCTTCCTCTATGTGGACACAATTTGGGCCCAATCTTACAAGGTTCCGAACACCCTGTAACTTCCATTGTCACACATGGGAAATGAGGGCACTCAAGAACGTACAGGACCAAAATCTTTATACCAGTGAAAGTTATTTCTGTTTTTTCTTTTTTTCTCCTGCAAATGAATTGCAGGTGCAAAAATTGTGGGTGCGAATTACGTCTATAAAAAAAGAAGGGCAAGGTTTTAAAACACGTATCCCTAAGAATCCTGTAGAGAGGCCAGAATTTAGATTAGATGAGATGATCCAGAAGAGGTCCCTTCTACTGACGGTGTACACAACAAATAAAATAGTACAGCGCCGAGCACAGATGGTCACAAAAGGGTCAGCCTCTATGCTCTACAAAAATCAGGATAATGGACACAAGTCAGATATTAGGAATGGCAATATACAAAAACCTGTAGGAGAACACTTCAATCTCCCTGACACACAATAGCAGATGTAAAGGTAGCCATCCTGCAGCAAAAAAAACTTCAGGACCAGGCTTCAAAGAGAAACTGCTGAGCTTCAGTTCATTTGCAAATTTGACACCATCAGCTCAGGATTAAACAAAGACTGTGAATGGCTAGCCAACTACAGAAGCAGTTTCTCCTCCCTTGGTGTCCATACCTCAGCTGCTAGAAGAGGGCCTCATCCTCCCTGATTGAACTAACCTCATTATCTCTAGACTGATTCTTGCCTGCATATTTATACCTGCCTCTGGAAACTTCCACTACATGCATCTGATGAAGTGGGTATTCACCCACGAAAGCTTATGCTCCAATACATCTGTTAGTCTATAAGGTGCCACAGGACCCTCTGTTGCTTTTTACAGATCCAGACTAACATGGCTACCCCTCTGATACAAAAATCAAAAAGTTAAAGTCCTATTAATAATTATATAATACCAATACCCGACCAAGAAGAAAGAAATGGAAATTCACGAGGAAACAATCAGAGTTTAGTCAAAAAATGGATATTGTTTTTCATGGAAAATTTTAATTTTCTCTGATATTTTATGTGAAACAGTTTTGGTTTTTCGACACAACACTGATGCCAAAAAATACTCAGATTTCAGAAGTGGAAACAGTTTTGTTTCCCACTCCTTCCAATCCCCTTTTCCCCAGTTTTTCATGCTTTCTTGGTTTTTCATGGAAAATGAGGAAAAAATACAATGAAACAAAACATTTTCTGCAAAAATGTCATTGAGGACGAAAGGCTGTTTTTCATCCAAACGCATTTTCGGCTGAAAAATCTCAACCAGTTCCAAGAAAAAAAAATAAAAATCATTATAGTCAAGTAAGTCTTCTGCGTGACACAGTGGAATGGAAAACAAAACAAATGGCATATGTAACTTCATGTGTTTGTCTTAACGAGAACATCCTACAGACCTAACACTCTCTAGCATTGCTACTAAGACTCTGCTAAAATGTGCTACATCTGTTGAACTTTAGCCCTGAAGCAACAATTCTACCATGGCTGAGGAACAGTAATAAACGATATGTGAAGACAGTTCTTTTGGACACCAGCTGCCAGAATACATTACTGTCAGAAGAAATAAAAAGCTGGATACATTCTAAAGGTTCCCCCATCTCCAATTAAAACCCAGCAGACAGTTTTTGGATCTTTTATTGTGAGCTACACTATAGCTTTGCGGTGAAGATGGGAAAGGCATGTGGCAGTGGATTCACCGGTGGGCCACCTAATTGTCATTCCACAATCATTTTGCGGCCTGATCCTGCACCATTGACATCAGTGGAAATTTTACTGACTTCAACAGTGGCAGGATTGAGCCCTTAGAGAAGAGCTACAAATGAGTATGCCGCAACTCACTAATATTAAGATTCAGTAGCAGAAGGGTGATTACTCCAAGAGCTGACACTCACTAATTCTGCCTGCAAAACACGTTTGGACCCAGGACCTTCTGATCCACATTGCAAACCTCACCTGCGTGAGCTAAATGAGTAGCTCCATTAGCAGGTTGCATTAGTAAACTGTTATCCTCTTGTGGCTCAATGTACATTGACTCGCTTTGCTAATGTGTTTGAAATGCTGCCCACAAAACAGGGGGGGGGAAAGAACGTGCTATTATCTTGTCTGTACAACACCGGAAGAGCCTAGTGGCTTACTCAGAAGTGAATATAACAATCCAAATGTACTGAAAGTTTTAAAGGGAGTGTTCCCTTAGTAAACCTTACAAATGGTAACTCTACCGAAATGTTTCCCCCTCTCCTAATAGCTCATAAAAAGAAACAATGGCTGTTACTCGAAAGGGAAGTGGTCTATAAATCCAGTTCTAATAAATATAAACTGAGCCTGTTCAATGTTTACACAGAGGTAGGAACTGGGTATTCATTTTTGGCACTATATATAAAAATACTGCTCTATTTCTAGCAGCATATGTTTACAAGTCCAGCACATGACTCATCTACTGTACATTTTCTCTGTCGACCTCTGCTTTACAAAAGATGCGGTGGTGTACATATAAAAGCGGGATGGATATTCTATATATAAAAAGCACGGTGATGCCAAAGAATCAGACAGGCCACACTATGCCTGATGGAACAAACTATTACTGTCCTAGGCAATGAAAGTAAGGGAACATTATAATCATGGAACCTTATCTCCATTTAAAGTTATCCAGAGAATAGAGTGTAAATATACAAGAACAAAGATTCCTTGTACAAAGAAGAAATTCTCAGCAGTGGCTTTGCTTTCTCATCTCCTCTTGCATATCAATTTGTGGACTTTTCCTACAGATGGGCATTTTGCTAGCAAGTATCTTCAGTGTCTTTTCTACATGGGAAAGATCCTGGCCAGAAACTTCTCGGCACAGTATCATATGAAAGAAGCTAAGGCTCTCCCACCCCCACAGCAGCAGGAGGAGTTTGGGTGTGGGTGGAGGGCTCAGGCCTGAGGGCTGGGGTGCAGGAGGGGGTGAGGGCTTTGGGTGGTGCTTACCTTGGGAGGGTTCCCTGGAAGCAGCAATATGTCCCTCCCTCAGCTCCTAGCTCCGCCCACAGCCTCTGCCCACAGGCACCGCCCCCGCAGCACCCATTGGCCCTGGTTCCTGGCCAATGGTTGCTGCAGAGCTGGCAGCATGCGGAGCTAGGAGCTCAGGGAGGGACATGTTGCCGCTTCCGAGAAGCCGGGTAGGGAGCCTGCCAGCCCCGCCAACTCCCTTCCCCCACCACGAGCGGGGGTCCCGGCCTACTCCCACCCAAGCACCCTCAGCCCCCCCCAGAACACCCCCCCAGCACTTGCGGTGCCCCCCCCCATGCACCCATATCGCACCACCCCTGTGAACCCACAGCACCCCCCGGGCCACACACCCCGAGCACCTATGCCCCTCCCAGCACCCTTTGCTTCCTCCCCTCCCCCCCCAGCACCTGTGGGCACTCCCAAGATTTAGTCAGGGGTATAGTATAAGTCATGGACAGGTCACGGGCTGCGAATTTTTGTTTACTGCCTGTGACCTGTCCATGACTTTTACTAAAAATACCTGTGACTAAAAGGTAGCCTTAAATATATTTCATCAGTTGCCTGTTCACACCATTGTTGTCTTTTGGAAACAACTAATTTCTGTAGCTCTCCACCCCTTTTATATCTGTCCTGTTTGTTTCTTTAATGTTCAAGGCTGATATTGTCCTGTTCAGAAAGGGCTAGAGAGACATGGACTCACGTAAGTCCCCCCAGGACTCTTTGCCAGTTTGGTTACATTTTTATTTCCCAGACACTTTTTAAATCAGGCATTTAGAAGTGCTCAGACCTCTGATCACATTTGAGTGACAGACATAGCGCTTGTCAGATGAAAAGGCTTTCGACACCCTGGGTGTTAAGATGTATTTTGGGCATAGAGCCACCAAACACACCAGAAGTAATATGTTAATTTACTCTGTATGGATATCTCCCATCTTCCTCATGTCATTGCTCACACGTCCCCTTCAGGATCCTTGATTCAACAGCCCCACCTAGCAGACCGGAGATTTTAGGTGTGCTAATTTAGCACCGTTTCCATGCATGTCTGTTACTGGGGGACAAGAGGATTTCTAATGATTCCTCAAGAACCTTCAGGAACCCAGATCCCTGGAGGTGATACTATACATCTATTTTCTCCTTAAACATTTCTGGCTCAGGTACAGAAACAAGTACAGTAGTCACCAGAGGTGCAACTATGCTGCTGCCATGCCAAAAAAATTTGGCATCAAATGCAGAAGTCAAGGCAACCTGAATCATAAAATTCTGTATCGAAAGGCCTTTGTATCACCTTAAATTGAAAGTGCGTGGTATGGAACTTATGAAGCAATGGCCACTGTAGAGAGAAACATATGGTCTATCGTCTTAGTTAATTAACAGGCCGGTATGAGATGGATTCTGAATAGGCAGGTTACCTGGTCAAGTATGGGGTGGCTAGGGGCAAATACTAAGATTTATGAGCAGTAAAGCCGATAACTGTGGTGCAGTGGAATCAGGGGACCTGGCTTCTAGCCCTGGTACCGCCAGTGACTAGTATGAGTCCTTGGGCAAGTTACTTTGCTGTTCTGTGCCTTGGTTTGCCTTATCTAATTAAACCATAGGCTTCTTGGGGGAAGGCCTAGCTATGTGTCTGTACAGTGCTTATGATGCTGGGTCCTGTAATGTAAACTGGAGACAATGGTTTTGACTCAGGCCCTATATGAAAAGGGATTCATTAGACCATTCTTTGAGGAAATAGTTTTCCTAACAAACATTTGTGAACAGTTAAGCAAGCACCTTGGTTTCAAGCAGTATTGAACTCAGTGTCAAGAGGCCACATTCATTTCTCTAGAACTAGCAGAATAAAGGAGGATAAATTCTGTCTGCAGATGTGAGTATACAGTTGCCACTGACTTCAACATGGGCTTCAGATTAAGCATATGCTGGAGGGTTTTTGTTGGATATGTGCCCGATACCTTGTATGGGTGAACCCACTAGAAGCAGAGTTTTAATCCACTAACAGTATTAGCGTGACAATGCAATAATAGCTTACAGGCTAGCACGCAGCAGCATTTTATTTCCAATTTAAATAAACTCTCACTCACCAAATATTATTGGGGGGGGGGGATTACAATTTTGTTTCAAGTGGCTTTGCTGACACCAGAATATCAATTTTAGCAAAAAACAAAACAAAAAAACGGTAGCATTATGGCTGATCTTGCACTGAAGTAGATGGAGTTTCAAAAATTACCTCCTTTTCAAGGTTTTCTAAAACTGGAACAATTTATCCGAATTGCTCCAAAATGAAAAAAACTCCAATTGGAAGTTCTCAGATTTTGTTGCAAGTGTTTCTTGTGGCTTCCAGTCCTAATTCTCCCACCAATGTATTGGGTGTTCTTGGGCAGATAACTTCTTTGTGCCTCAGTACCCCCAGCCCCTCATCTGCAGAATGGCCCCTTTTATATCCATGGACTGCTCATTATCAATCTCCCTTAGCTACTTGCCATATTATCTGAGCACCTCACGATGTTAAATGTATCTTCACTACACCTGCGTAAGGGAGGGCAGTGCTATTAGACCCATTTTACAGATGGGGAATTAGTGCACAGAGATGCTAAATGACCTGCCCAAGTCCAAACAGGAAGTATGTGAGAGAGGCAAGATTTGAACTCCTATTTCCCAAGCTACTGCCCTAGCCACTGGACTATCCTTCCTCTCGGGATACAGTAATGAGAAGGGCACAATATGGCCTTCAATGTTCATACAGCGCCATGAAGGTGCTGAGTATTATAAAAATCCATATTACAAGAATTCATTATTTTCTGTTTTGTAGCTGTGTCAGTCCCAGGAAATTAGGATTTTTAACCAACTTCAGTACAGTACATAATGCACGTCAATAAATAAAACCATTTATAGGACCAGCTCATCAGCTACTCCAATTTATTCCAGCTGTGGATTTGGCCCATATCATTTAGTGTAATTTTTTCCAGACAATTAGCACTTCTATCTTCCCAGGTAAATTGAAACGTCGTTTTTAAAGGCATCAAGAGAGCCGGTTTGTCTTTTGGTAGGGGAAAAACAACAACAAAATACCGACCATCAAAACGCATAATACAGACCCTTGGGAGGTGTGAGATTGACTCCGTTTTTAAGGCACCATTGTACTGGTAAGATCCCTAAGGAATCAGCATGGCAGAGCATTGAGATTTTGCTGGGTTCGGGTCTCAGGTCATCAATGGTCACTTGTAAATAATGATTGTTAAAAACCTGAAGGGCAGAAAACAGGCCAACGTTAATTTATTGTAATGCACGCCACACTGGGGTAAAATAACGTATCTCTGCCTGGTTGTCAGCATAATTCTCCATAGTTTGATGTGCGGGTCTCAGCTAGGAGGGCTCATTTATCAGCTCAGACAGTCGAAATAGGCTCCTGAAACTCCATAGTGAGGAATGGAACTAGGAGTTGTATTGATCATGTCTGCCATGTGGGTGAAACTCATCTATAAGCAGAGAGCCAGCAAAGACTAGGCACCAGTTACCTCCCACTCAAAAGAGGGTGAAAGCAGGATTTAAAGCAGAGGTGGGCAAACTATGGCCCACAGGCCACATCTGGCCCACGGGACCCTCCTGCCTGGCCCCTGAGCTCCTGGCCCGGGAGGCTAGCCCCTGGCCCCTCCCCTGCTGTTCCCCCTCCCCTGCAGCCTCAGCTCACTGCACCGCCGGCACAATGCTGTGGGCAGCAGCGCAGCTACAGAGCCGGCCTGACCCGGTGCTCTGTGCTGCGCTGTGGCGTGGCTGGCTCCAGCCGAGCGGCGCGGCTGGCTGTCCTGGTGCTCTGGGCAGCGCAGCTGTAGCGTCGCCAGCCACCGGTGCTCCAGACAGTGCGGTAAGGGGGCAGGGAGCAGGGGCGGTTGGCTAGAGGGCAGGGGAGTTAGGGGTGGTGGTCAGGGGGTGGGGGTGTGGATAGGGGTCAGGGTGGTCAGAGGGCGGGGAACAGGGGGGTTGAATGGGGCGGGGTCCCTGGGGGGCAGTCAGGAAGGAGAGGGGGGTTTGGATGGGGCGGTGGGGGGCAGTCAGGGCAGGGGTTCCGGGGGTGGTCAGGGGACAGGGAGAAGGGATGGTTGGATGGGGCAGGAGTCCCAGGGGGGCAGTCAGGAATGAGAGGAGGGGTTGGATGTGGTGGCAGGGGGCAGTCAGGGGCGGAAGGTCTAGGGGCGGTCAGGGGATAGTGAGCGCAGGGAGGGGTGTATAGGGCAGGAGTCCCGGGGGGGCCATTAGGGGACGGGGGGGGGTTGGATGGGGCAGGAGTCCTGGGGATCCGTCAGGGGATGAGAAGCAGGGGGTGGTTGGATAGGGGCCGGGGGCTGGGCCACGCCTGGCTGTTTGGGGAGGCACAGTCTCCCCTACCCATCCCTCCATACAATTTCGGAAACCCGATGTGGCCCTCAGGCCAAAAAGTTTGCCTACCCCTGATTTAAAGGGCCCTGGACCTCGTGCTGTCCTTTGGCACGGGGTGAATTCCACCTGTTGTGCCACATCATAGTTACAAAGGGACACACTCAGATTGAGAGGACATGCCTGGGACCTCAGTGGGAGTCACATGTGAGCAGAACCTGGCCTGAAGTGTGTTATCTGAAGCATTGTGGCAATGACTTTTACCAGACCAGTTAAGAGGGATGACAACGTACTTGCTAACATTTCTGATGGGGACTCCTGATTTGATGCCACATAAACATGCAGGGCACCACCTAAGCTTCTGGGGCTGCTCACCAATTGAATTTGCTAGAAACAAATCCTGGCTCATCCTGGGCTGGAGGTGAGAAGGGGCAAGGCGTCTCTTTCCCCTTCACGTGCGCCTGGGGGCTTGATCCTGCAGCCGCTGAAATCAATGGCACTGACTTCAAAGGTGCAGGATTGGGCCCTGCCGCACGTTGCCATTAGCTCTGCCTATGCAAAAGGAGTGAACTGGGTAAAGTAGCCGGAAGAGGGTGTGTCCAGTGTGGTTGTGGGCGGGGCTTTTATATCGGTAGGAGAGAGAGGGTAGACCGCTCATAAAGTGTAGTGAGTTCCCAAGCCAGCTCCTCTCGGCTGTTTACACTACCACACACCACCTCTAGCACAGCTCATGTGCAGACAGGCAAGGTTTAGCCCTTCTTTAATTACCAGGCGATGGTGGCCTTCTTGCCTGCTATAAGGGCCATCAGCTAGATAGTGCAGACAGCTGCTCAGCGGGCATGCCAGCTGTTCCTGGCATTGCACAGGTAGTGCAATATTCTTAGCTACCAGTGTGGGCCTTGGAGAACCTCCGTGGTGACACAACCGAACCAGAAAAGGCAACGCGGGTGTGAGGTGCCATTTTAACAGATCAGTCCCTGGTCAGTAAGTTGGCCTGAAAAGCACCTGCTCACTGCTGAGATACCAAGGGACTGCAGAACGAATGGGGCCATCTGTTGTTCTGGGACTGTATGCAAGCATAAGGATGTGCTCCCTTTTCCGGGGCCAGAGGCGAATGGATAAAGAAAGAGGTTTTAGCATGATATAGGGGTGCAAGCCCCTACACCTCCCACTCCCTTTCCCTACGGAATGTGTGTGTTACCACCAATGCTGTACCCGCTTTATTGGGCAGGAGGGAGAAAACATGCATACTCCCTGTCCCCGCCCTATCCTGCCCCCTTGTCCCAGGTGGTTATTATGCAGAATAGCTTCTGTATAGCAAGGGAAGAGGAAGGTGAGATGGTGCTGAATGGGCAGCCCAGTCTCCCCTTCCTTGTAGTGGGGGGGAGATCTGCACACAAGATCCCCAGCATGTATAGGTCTAAGGAAGATATCATCCCGCGCCAACTAGCACAATAAAAATACACAGATGATCCACGAGGAGAGAGAGCAAGGTGACGGGCAAGGATTTTTTTTAATGCACATTTATTATTCTGATCTCCAGCTAATGAAATTCCACTGGACAGTCATTTAAACGTGATTATTAACCATGGGTGGTTATTCACCTATAGTTCGGGGCCAGCATGGTATTTTCAGTCCCACTTGCAAGAGCTCACCTTAGTCACTGATGCAGGACAGATATTAAAGGGTTCCCTCATGCCCACCACCTCCAGCTTCATCCCCACTGTGAAGAAGTGGCTCCTCAAATCAGCATGATCCTATGCATATATATGGGAAACAAGCAAATCTGCGTATCAGTGATACCGGCCACAAACTCAGCATTTATGAGAACCAAGTGCCCCAGCATTTTATTTTACAAGAGGTACATTTGCCTGCAGTAATGAATCTGCCTGTGTTGCCTAATTAATACGTTGCTCTGTGGCTTTGATTGTTTTCTCTGGGTGGACAGTTTTCCTAACAAAAGAAAGAAACCAAGTATAAACTTTTAAGCCAGACCAGGATAGGCGAGAGAATAAAGGATCCCATACTAATGCTTGGATCCTATAGGATGGATATTCGGGGCCAAATCTTTCATTCCTTAAACAGCAACAACTTCCACTGACTTCACCTGAAATTTCTCAGTGGATGTTGGCAGCTTGTGACCGTGAGCAGCTAGATTCTCATTTTCACAAAGGTGTTTCTGTGCTGGTCTGACAGCATCACGGGGTCTTAAATGGAACAGAAATGGATAACTTAGAATATCGCTTGTGTAGGGTCCCCTCATCTGGTGTAAGGGATCTACGTCAGCCCTGTTCCTAGCCCCTCAGCACGGGGGGCACACTGGGAGTTGTAACAGGGGAATGTCAGGGGTGTGGCCAGAGTGCACTGCCCTATAGCTATTCTCCATTTCCCAAGGCCCATGGGGCAGATGTGAAGGAGAGCAGCCCAAAGGCTGCTCTACATTTACACAACAGGCGAGGCAGGTTCCTACGTGACAAGAGAACACAGGAAACACAGACACAACTTTAAAGAGACCTTAACCCATCCCCCACTTTGACCCTGACCAAGCATAGGTAACTCAAAATTAGGTCCAGTGACGAAAATCAGGCTCTCTAGCTGTTGAGACAAGGGACAGCACTAGATGTCAGCCATTTATTTTAAAACCCATGCAATGAGACTGCACGTTACTGCCTTAGGGCTATGTTAAGCCTCACAAGGTGGGCGCGAAGGGATCGCACAGAAGTTAGGAGACTCTGGCTGACTCAGCAAAATTGCCTGTGGTCACCAGTGCCCATCCAGATCTCCTGGATGGTACAGAAGAGGGTAGGGGCCATGTCTCTGCCCCCTTGGCAAGCCTAGCTCTGGTGAAGGCATTCAGGGGATGCAGGCCCTGGGATTGTGGCTCACCCCTATGCAGCATCACAAGAGATGGAGGGATGGACGGATCCTTGGTCCCTCCCCCAGCTTGCAGACCTGCACGGGAGTGGCAACAACCTGGCCCTCCAACCACACAGGATTTCAACAAGGTTTCCCAAAAGTCACCACTCCAGCTGGCCCCCCTCAGCCGAGCAGAACAGGCCATGGAGACAGAACACGTCCTCAGAACCCAAAAGGCGGGCAGCAAGGTTGCACATTTACAGGGCAGTGCGGGGAAGCCGGCCAGCACTAAACCTGGTCTGGGCATAAGTAAAGCGCCCTCCTCAAACGCTAAATCCACTAATGTAACAAAGGGCCAGAGTCTACCAGTCTACCAGGAAGGATGGTGCCAGTGGTTATGGCATTAGGCTGGGATTCGGAAGATCCACATTCAATTCCCTGCTCCGCCAAAGGCTTGCTATGTGATCCTTGGGGGCGGGGGTCACCTAGTGTCTCTGTACCGCTGTCCCCCATGTGCAAAATGGAGATATTAGTCCGCCCCTCCTTCACAGGGGTGGTGCGAGGTTTGTAAAGTCTGAGAAGTGATCAAATAACATTATCTTACTCAGGCTGAGCAGTACCTTACGCTGCAAGGAGAAGATTTCAGTGGAAAAAGAGACTATGTGAATATGGGTGGACGAATCTGGACCTAAACAGACACCTTGATCTGCTGGCCTGTGCATGCACGATTAAGGGAAAGGTTTGCCCAACTTTGTAGGGAATTAATTTGGGTGTTCAAATGCCTTACTTGGCTTTTAAACTCTCAGCCTCAGACTCCAAACTGGGACGGTGCTAGCCACGGATTTATCCTTTGCAAGGGGCAGGCAAGTCTTGTTCCCATTATTTAGACACCTGTTTCCTCAACAAGGGACATCACAGGTAGAAGCCCTAGGACCGCATTGCATTAAGGATCACATTTCAGTTTTATTAGCTCAAGAGTGATCTCCTTTCTGTGGTAAAAGAGTATTTCCAAACCATCAATCCATTAGCCAGTACATCTCCTGCGATAAGAGGTATTGTTTCACTTTAAAAAAAAATGCTCTGGACTCCAAATTGCATGGAGAAAACCTACTTCTATCTAATAGTACTTGGCAATGCCATTCCCTTCTACATTCACCGCTACATGTTATATTCCTGTCCTAAAGTGGTTTTATATTGATTCAAAGTAGTATGTCATTTTTCCCCCCTAGAACTGTCTTTACTTATGGATTTAACAGTTTCTATCTTGGGGAACTTCTGTTTCTAGTGACATTGAAGGAAGGGTTTTACAAGCTTTAGTAGAGACGGAGGAATCATTGTTTTAATCTTGCTTTGCACTTCTATTGTACCTTTCATCGGAGGATCTCAAAGCACTCTAAAAACATTAATGGATTTAGTCTCCCTGCAGGGTAGATATTATTTTCTCCATTTTGCAGCTAGGGAAACTGCCGAAGGTTAAGTTAATTGCCTAAAGCGACGCAGTAAATTAATGGCAGGGAAAGGAACACAACTCAGGAATCCTAGCCTCTGGCTATATATTTTAAGCATTAACAATAAAGCCTAGCGCTTATATAGCACTTTTCACCTGTAGATCTCAACGTGCTTTACAAAGGAGGACAGTATCATTACCCCCATTTTACAGATGGGGAAACTGAGACACTTACTCATGTTTGCTAGTTATCATCCCCTCTGGCAAGGGCCCAGTCCTGCTCAGTTCTAATGGCACAATCTAGCCCACAAAGAGGGTGACATCTCATTTCTACTAGCCTTACGGTGAGCAGTACTTTATTCTGGGATCAGTCCCATTGCTTAAATGGGATTGCTCATGGAGTAAGGCAACTACTCAACAAGAGTCAGGATAGCAGAATCTGGGCCTGTGTAAATAGTGCCTAGAGTGTATGATGGATGCTTCAGAAATGCCTATCGTCATCACCATCAAAATCATCAGCTTTGCCACGGAACGTTTCAATTAGAGATGAGGCATGGCTGCAAAATTCAGACCTGAGTCCAGATCTACATTTCAAACCCCCAAAGTTCGGAAGCATTTGGACTGAGGATTTTGATCTGGCTGTTACAGACACAGGGTCCAGCCATGAAGTTCGTTTCTACGTTTTGAATGCCCCAACCATTTGCTTCCAAGTATATAGACAGGGATCATTTGCAAAATGTGCACTTGGGAACTAGGTTTGGACTGCAGCACCTTCCCCCAGATCTGGGATATGATCTAGTCTCAAGCGTCAATACATTTTAAAAACCCAGATCCAGCAAAGCACTTAAGCATGCACTTTACTTTAAATAAGTGAGTAGTCCCATTGGCCTCAAAGGGGGTTGCTCATATGCTTAAAGTTAAATCCATGTTTAAGTATTTTGCCGATTGGGGCCTAAATACCTAGACCATATTGCGAATCATTTTTATCTGCATCCATTTCTGGGGTTGAGTTTTCCATAGCTAGTTTTTGTTGTTCCTTTCTTAAAGACAAAATTAATTCAACAGAAAGAACAACTCTGTAGAAGTCTAACAATACACAGCATGGTTTTGTTTCAAAAGCACATCCGTGTCTGCCTTCGGATCTTATTTTGCAGCCCAGCACCTTAATGTTTTGAGCACCTTGCATGTAAAATCAATACCAAGAGTGAAGTCCCTAGTGGACTTCATGGAGTCTCAGGTATTTATTTCTTTTTGGGGTCAAAACTCTACACAGGGTAGAGGTTTTTTTGGGGGGGGGGGAAGCGGGGGCTGATTTGTTTTGTTTAACAGTTGCGTAGGGATTTAGGAGTAAAAAGGGGTGTTACTGTGGAATGTCATTCTTATGACATTTGCTTCACCCCTAAAGCCCGTTAGACTCTGGATTCACCTATTTCTCCTGGAAGTTTGTTACACAATAATATTTATGAAAAACGTCTTAAACCACACTTTCACCTCAACAATGGGGGGGAGAGGGAGAGAAAGGAAGGATCCAAAAACCAGTCCCTCCAGTCCCAGTGGTCTGACTGCTTTGGGCCACTGGGAATTGGCGAGGCTACGGCATATGCTTCTCTTCAAAACTCCAATTAACTGACATAATTTCTAAGAATAGGTTTCACTGAAGTGAAAGGAAAGCTTTTAATTAGTATTAGTCTCAAACTGATACACTGCATAATGAACTGCTCTCTCATTCCTGTATTCACACTGCTACATGATATGCCATGTTAAACAGGAAAAAAAGGACTTTCCTAGTCATTCCACATTGTGTTCTCTCTCCTGGTTTATTTCCTTCTATAAGGACGACCAAGTGTTTTAGGCACCTTTCTTATATTTAAATCCTCATTAGGCGCTCCTTGTTCCCCCAAAATGGATACCCTCTGCAGCGGGAGTTTTGGATGTACAAAGAAAGGGCTCGCTTCCTGGAAAGCAGTGGAGGCTAGCAGATCGGGCACTCTGCCGCAACTCAGGAGACTGGTTTTTAATTCCTGGCTCTGCTGGGTTACCTTGGGCAAGTGACTTCATGTCTCTGTTTCCTCTCCTGCCCTTTGTCTGGTTTCGCCTTTGGAGTCTGCCCCAAGTGAGAGATGGTCCATCGTTATGCTGTCCCAGGCGCACACCGGACACCAATGTGATGAAGGGTGGCAAAATCTGGCCCTTTATTATTATTTCACAAGGTTCAACAGTTAAGAATCCAAAGCACATGCTTGAGCTGAGGTGTGAGGGAAGATGCCAGCAGTCCGGGGGAGCTGGCACACCTTACAAACTCTGGGCTAGTCAGATCCAGGGCTTTGATTCAGGGTCTGCTATAAAGGTAGGGGTCACTTGCAGAATTCAAACTGGGTGTGGATAATAAACACTTTCAAAGTGAGTGAGTGAGTGGATCCAGGATTATCTCCACAATGAACAGGTGGGGACACC